TCTAATGTGTGCGCTGCATACATATGAGTATGCTTATAATACGTACACATGCATACATATATACATATGTACTTACATACATAAGCATTTGATATAAAATTATTATTTTTGTTTTTGATATCACTTCACAATTTTTTCCTTAAGCTGCAAAAAGGGAGGCGACATACTATGATTGAGTTTGAGTGTAGTTAATCTAATCTAGTTAACGAGTTTTCGAGAGCAGCTATAAAATGAGGATTCATTCGTTTTGAAATTGAAAATAAAATGTGGACAAGATGTGTTTCTTAATAACAACTGAAGTCCTCTAATTGGCTTAGTGTAACTTAGCGACTATTTTCATGTTTAATGCACAGCAAATACACAGCAAATGGCAAAGTTGTCACGAAGGGAAAGAAAAACAACTAATAAGAATATATAAAGGATACCTATTTTTAGCTTTTGATTGTGGCTCTTATCTTTTTAATATCAATACAAATTTGCCATTTCTTTTCAAGTATTATGCTGCCTTAATTGTTTTACTAGTTTCCATAGAATTTTTATAGAATTTTAAACTTAGCGATTTTCGATGAACTTGGAATTTTTACCATATTATTTCTAAGATAAGAGAAGCTGTGAAAGACCATAACAAATACTTCTGGATCAGCGCAGGAAATTTTCAAACTTTGGATCAGCGCAGGAAATTTTCAAACTTGCGTCATTGTTAAGAAGCATCGACCGTTTTTCGAGCTGTGTGTCAGAGTTGATGCCTGAATTATAACAATGTTCTTTCTCGACAACTCTCCGAGACAAAACTCGAACCTCCGTTTGAATATCGGCTCTTTACACCCTGAATGGCTAAGCGCGCTATTATTACACAACTCGTCGTTATTTTATGCTTCCTCGTTAATCAGCAACATTTCCTGCTGTCGTTGATGCAGCAACAACTTGAAGGTAAAACAGCAAAAGCAACAACTTTGCTGCAGCGCTAGCCGCCATTGCAATGAAATTCCACTTCAATGCATCGACACGAAATAGTAGTTACCTTCAAAGCTGGCATTCAATCTAAACTGGATCCACACGACCTCCTTCCTCTCTGCCCAGTGCGTGCAGATGTATGTATATGCGTATGATTGCATGTATGTATTTAGGTAATTTCTGTTGCCACTACATCATCATTAGATTGTTGTTGCAACCAACATGTTACTCTTTGACTGGCGGCTGACTGATTTACGGCACAGCCGGATGCATTGCTGCGTTTGAAGGTGAGTCAAATGTGTTGTTGGGAGTGTATGTGTGTGTGTGTGTGAGTGTTGCATTTACGTAAGATGGTGATCCGTGTGAACAAAATGTGCGAGGGGGTGAGTTTTTCCAATGAATTATGTGCTAATGCTGCTGGTAATATGCATAGGTGGGTGAACTGCTCGATAATCCTGAGAGGAGCAAGCAATAGGTACGTCTTGCCTTTGATGTATGTGTAGATACTTGATTTGCTTATTATCCTTGATTTAATGCATCAGCGGGTATCAGGTATATGGAAGCGGCAGATATTCATACATATGCATGTAGTACGGTATATTCGAAGATGAAATACGGATTAGTGAAAATTCCACCTCAATGTAATATGCATAATGGATTTCCTTAGTGTTGGAACTTTGGTGATACATTTGCTTTAGGAAACAGTTACATTCGACATGAACTAACTGATACCCATCTGCGTAGCTTATAATTGCAGCAGCTTTGTAAAGCTAAAAATGCAGTCTTGCAAATCAACAAATTGTCGCTTCCCTCATTTTCCTCAAGAAAGTAAGAAAAACAAAAGCTCGAGGAAGTCAAAAATACATATATCTTTTATAGGTTTTGTGCTTGCGGCACAGATACTCATATGACTCCCTAAAACAACTAAGGACAGCGCTGTCTTCGAATATGTATGCCGAAGACTTCGCACCTTTCATTATTTTGAAAAAAAAATTCCAAATAATGCAATCCGCACAGCTTCTTCTACAGCACTAGTTGATTTCATCGTTAAATTGTGTGCCAGAATGTGGTTGTCCATACGTTTGTAGCCACACTTCACTGCCGGAGCAATTAATATGTGGCAAATGTTCCAGTCGGCCGCTGTGGTGTAGTGGTAAGCAGTGCGTGCTTTCACTCACCAGCACCTGGGTTCAAGCCCTGGTCAAAGCAACATCGCAAAAAATTTAGAAAAAGGTTTTTCTTAACAGCGGTCGTCCGTCGGCAGGCAATGGCAAACCTCCGAGTGTATTTCTGCCATGAAAAACAGCTTCTCATAAAAATACAATCGCCGTTCGGAGTCGGCGTAAAACTGTAGGTCCCTCCGCTTTGTGTGACAACATCAAGGCGCACGCCACAAGTCGGAGGAGAAGCTCGGCCAAACACTAACATAAGTGTAAGCGCCAATCTATTATTATTAAATGTTCCAGTACTCAAAGTATGTGGCTGAAAAGCAAAAGAAGTGGTCCGGAAGGTACTAACTCGCAACCATTTTTCTGGCATCCGGAAAATTTTTTGCTGACAAAGGCTGTAGATAATCTGGTCGATGTCAGGAAAGAAGCATTTAGGTGGATTCTGATAGCAACAGAGCCTGAAATTGAGCACGCAAAATAACTGCTCAACGAATACTTGACGGACATTGGAGAACTTAAAGAAGTATCTAGAAATGGAAGATCTATTCGAAATCCCGAAGCTGGCCAAGGCTTTTCCCAAATTAAGGGAAGTTTTAAAATTATAATAATAATAGATTGGCGTTTGAACGAACTTCTCCTCCGATTCCTGAATTCCCGCGCAGGTTTTCCAATGCTTGCCGGGGGTGAAAAGAACGTTTGTGTTTATTTTTATTTTATTATTTATTTTATTTTTTTGATATTGGTTGGGAACTGGGCTCTAACCCAGGCCCTGCAGAGTGGTAGGGGGCACTTCAACTAGTACTGCACCGCAGCGGTCGTTTTAAAATTATATCCTAGGGTTTTTGGGGATAAACAGTACATCATATTTGTTTCCAATAAATGAATGTTTGGCGTTTAAGCATTTTCTATGTGTTTGGCCAAATGGAGACACACAAATGGAGAGATCTAGGCGTTTACTCCACCCCCCCGAAGAAGCTTAAAAAAAAATGCTGCTATTAAAAAAAAAACTTTAAACATGACCAAACGTAAATTTTTCACTCATTATTATTTGTTTACATTTTGATCTAAAAAAACTTTGAACTAATTTTGCTTCGCCCTTTTCTTAATAAAAGTTATCTTTACTGTTAATAATTTTATTATAATTTTTGGTCATGATTTCATTTCAGTGTATGAAAGCTATGTGAAGAAAAACCTCTATCCAGTTTTTTCTTAAGTTACAAATCGGGAACCGGCTTTTTCAAACTGCAATTTTTAAAATAATTCCGAAATACGTTTTTGGGAAAAAAGCGAGAAATCGAATACCATACTAAATGGCTTCAGTTCGACATTTTGATCATTTACATATGTAGGTATACATTATCGTCGATATATCTCTTCTTCTTCTGGTGTTTACAGGCATCGGACCAAAATTATAATACCATTTAATGTTTGTGAAAAGTATAAAAAAAAGTCAAAAGTACTTTGTTCTTAAAAAAAAAATGGTTAGTATGAAGTTTTCTTTCAAAAGTATACCCTAAAAGCAGAAAAACTCTAGAAAAGCGATGATTCAGTTAAAAAAAATGAAGTGAAGCTAATCCCATTGCTACTGAATGACGAAAGGATATCCAAGAAGAATAGTGTCGACATCTGTCTCTATTCGGCCGTGTCTTTGGATGCTTCTGGGATCAACTTTACCTTAAGCCATTTCGAGTGCGAAAACACATCACAATTTTTAGGTCATCTTGACAAAAAATTTCGAGAGATACAGCATATCACCACAAACTTCGTGCTCTACACTACAAATTTGTCCATAAAAACTTATTCGTAGCGTGAGGGTGTCTTCGTGAAAAACCAAGAGCAAAAATTATGTCAACACGATTTCTCCTTTTTTAGTTTATCCATTGGAAAAACGGTCACTTGCATGATCATTTTTCCACTTGAACCTGCCATTTTTTTAATTAATAAAATAAGTATGGACGCATAGTTATTTGCCTACTGTCAGTGGTAGTATTTGATATTAAAATTTTTAAAATTCTACTAAAGTGTCTTATACGGCTTCAGTTATAAATTATGTACACACTTAACTTGATGATATAAAATTGTAAAATACTTACCGTTTGCTTAAAAAAAGAAATAAATAATGTTAACGTGTTTACAAGTACAACAAACAGAGTGAAAATTTTTCTATGACTAAGCTTTTGACAGCGTGTATACCTTTGTAAATCAAAAATCAAAGTATTACAAAAAAAGGATGGATAATGAAAACTTAATTAAAAATCAATTTAATTAACAAAGCACAACTAAAAGAAACGATTACGTTCAATTATTAAAACAACAAATTATAATTGACAACTTAAATCGTGTTTAATTCAAATTATCGAATTCTAAGCTAGCAAAGACAACCCAAATACCAAAGTAATGAAAATTAATGCAAACGAAGTGTTGACAAATTGATGAAGATGAACGTACATAACACAAATGGAATGCGAACAAAGGGAAATCGAAGCAAATTAACGGTATCACCAAATAACAAAATGAAAATTACCCATGGTAAAATAGAAGAAAATTAAACAAAAATATTACAGTGACAACAAAAAGTACGCAAGATCAAAAATGAAATATTAAATTATTTAGAAACATTTGACACAAATAAAAGTACGAAAGGCACGAAATCACATAAAATTTCCACAGAGCTTTGGGTTACTACGACGCTGTTAGAACGCAAGTGTAAGTAAGTAAGTATGTATGTATGTCGCCTAAGCGCTGAATTGTGAGTGCAAATGGTGATGCGGGTGAGTAGTTGTTACCAAGTACATAAGTATTGTTAACAAAACAACCAGTGACAAACAGTCGCCATAACCAATTTTAAAACTTTTTTTTTAATATTTTTAATCATACCCTCTACGTCTGTCGGTTGGTGTGACGCTGTCGCTGTTGGTTGAGCAGTGCTACTGCTGTTGTTGCTGTTGGTTGTAGGAGCGCGGGTGGTGGTAAATTTAGACATCTTTGGCAAGATTTTGCGACGCTCTTGCGACGCTTTCTTTGAACTCACTATTTGGATTTGCAGTTTGGTTTTTTTGGCGCAAGCAGAGAAACGTTTTTTTTTTTTTTTAGTTTTCATAAAGTTTGCATCAATATTTTTTGACATATTTCGTGTTGATGTCCCAAATTTTTCAAATAGTGTATAATAAAACGAAAAAAATTGGAAAAAGAAAATTTGCGTTATAATTGAACTACAATTAAGACTTAAAAATGCAAAACTCAAACGATAAATAATAGCAAATAATAACAGCACAATAATAATAGCACAATAATCAATGTACAATTAGATACACACAAATACATATACAGTTTTAGTGCAATTAAATTAAAAGTCGTTAAAGTATTTGGTAAGAAAAGGAATATTTCATAACTAAATTTGTTCACACCTGTAGCGTCACAGTGACCTATAAACTCAGGTGATATATCTGACTACAGAATTTACTCCTACTTGCATCAAAACTCATTGTGCAGCCGAATTATAAAGGAATTGAGAGTCATATAAATTAGTTGATTTTTTTGGATCGAATAAATACCTTTTTTGAACATTTTTGCAGATAAAAAAATTTAAAACTGAGCAAATATTACTAGACTTATTGCCCTTTCTCCTGTAGGTTTTAAAATAGATCTGCCCCTTAAAAAATTTTTTAAGAGGACAATTTTGTTTAAAGAGCAGGTAAATTTTAAAACTTACTTGAGAAGACAGCCCTAAGAGGATAAATGAAATATGTAAAAATTCACACGATAGCCAGACGTGCTACGTTTCGTACTCGTGGGTACTTTATTTACTATTTTTTTGGATTTTCAAAATCTTTGAAAAAGTTCAACTAAAGGATTGTCAAGTTTAATGCGACGTTGCCAATACCAAATTGAATTTGTGGGCGCTTTTTATGAATTACTAGTAAACCCTCAAGGCATTAAAACGCCCAACATTTTGATTCAAAAATCTAGAAACTATTCCAAATGTTAGTCAGAGTTATAAGCGACCCAAGTGTCATATTTCATCTTAATTTCGTAAAGCTGTTAATAATTCATCCAACTTATTAAATAATTTGAATGCCACTTTTTAAACACGTGGCATCCCTATTCAAACGTTATAAATGACTAACCTAAAGATTTCTTAACGTTGTTTCGCTTTCGAGTTAATTAAACTCGAATTTTTAAAAAGGTGGCAACCTTCTTCAAAAGTAGTAGCTAAAACCTACTTAATCAACCTTTGTCTGACATTGTGGTACGTTTTTTAATTAACTATTGAATAAAGATGAATTTGATTTTTTGAACATGTGGTAACCCGCTTAATATAGTTCGGAAATAAAGCCTTGTCAAAAGCATTTCGATAAGTGCCAATATTTTAGTAATTCATGTAACTTATTAAATAATCTGAATTTAACTTTTTAAACAGGTGGCAACCCTCTTTAAATACCTCGAAAGTATTCTAAGTGTTAATAGTAAAGATTTCTTAATACTCTTTTGTTTAGCACATTTTATTGTGTATAAGTTAACTAAATTCGACTTTTAAAATAGGTGGCAACCCTCTTTAAATATTTACAAACTTCTACGTTCTTAAACCTTCTCGTCTGGCTCCCATACATATTTCCATTACCTAATTCCCTTAATTCAAATTGGACTTAATTTTTTTTAAAAAGGTGGCAACCCTCTCCCTGTCAAGTTATGAAACAAAGCTTTTCAAACCCATTTCGACTGATACCCAATTTCTAATAATTGGTTAAGCTTTTTAAATAATTTGAAGGGTAGGTTAGGTGTTCTGACTTCTGATTGTTTGTGTGAAATATTATATTTTTATCAGTATTTTTCTATTAATCAAAATATGTTGAAATAGAAGAAACAAGAATTGCCAGAAAATAAATTTTATTCCTTTTTTGACCGGAAAACAGCATTTACTGAGCTTTTTAAGAAGTTTTAAACACATATTTTTTATCTTCTTGCGTCAAACAAATCCATTTCCATGGTGGCAAGAACCGAAGAACTCATTTTAAATTTTGTTTTGGTAGTTCATTACATGATCTTTTTAGTTAAAAAATACAGACAATAAAAAATATTACTTTTGAAGGTCAAAGTAATTTTTGATCTAAAATGATGTTCAAAAGTAAAATTCTTGAATTTTTAACCTTACGCTGGATTTCCACTAGGCATTAAATGGCAAAAATGACAAATGACAAAGTTGGGCATTAAAAAATATTCGAGTCATTACGTTAAAAAAAGTGTCATTAAGTTCATTTCCACATAGCATTTTTTTAAATGGCTTATATTTTTTGTCATTTCAATGCCTAGTGGAAATTCGGCATTAGTTTTAATTAACTCTAAAAAAAACTAAATCGCGCTTTTTGGTTATTGTCACCATGGAAATGGATTCCTTTACGCAAGAAGAGCAGAATTATGTTTTTAAAATTTTTTTAAATGTTCACTGCATACGGTTTTCAGGTCAAAAAAGGAAGAAAATTGAAAAAAAAAATGTCTGACCTATCTGCGCAGTCACGTGACGCCACAAGTGTTAAATATAAAAGCAAATAAAAAATGTAGGATTTCTTCGTTTAGATAATACAAAATTAAACTAATGCATAATATAAAATTTAAGTGTTATATGATTTTAAGTATTTGTTATTTAGCTTATAATTTAAGCTCTTCTACCCTAAAATATTTATTTTTTCTCTCACCACTAGATGAGTTAAGCTAATTATAAAAACTTTTCTTACAACTTCAATAAAACGAGCTAGTGAAAATCTAACAAAAATGTAAATATATAAATATAGAAGAAATTTGCAATTAAGCTCAAACTCTTTTCACACACGCATTCTTATATACATACACACAAAAACACAACGTTGCCAATTCAAAGTGACAAAGTGTGAATTATCACATTATACTCGTACCTACAACTGGTGCAACAGTAATCCATCAATAACTTTACAAACAATTCCACACACATACCGCATACATACATACATACATACATATCTATGTACTTACAATCTTCGACACACATCAGTCGATCCTCCATCAGCTTGAGTCCGGTGGGACAGGCGCAGGAGATGCGCGGACTGCGTTCGTTAATGCGCGGCGCTGGCAGGCATAAATGCGAGCAATGACCATTCACCGCTTGACAGTGATTGATGCCATCCGGTTGGCGGTAGGGATGATAAACGTGTATGACCATCGGATGTTGCAGCTACTCGAGTACAAACAAACACACAGATGCGCGCGCCCCAGCAAACAGACAATAATAATGCATAAAGATCACATTATGAAAATATTTTGCGTAGGACATAATGCAGGTGAACATTGTTTTTTTGTTATTATTGCGTGGGGTGGCATTGCGTTGGTGGCGTTGTTGTTGTTGTTGGCGTTGATGGCGTTGTATGCGGTAATGTTAATGGCGTTGGCATTGGTTGCGGTCACCCAGCGAATGTCATGTAAAAAAAGAGACAAGTAATGAAAGGACAATTGTTAATCGATTGCTGGAAATGCTATTTAATTAAATTAAATATGCATTAATCAAAAGTTGAAAAGAAAAAAAACATAAAAAGGCCGCCGCGACAAGCCACAGCGTTGACGCGAATATCCGCGAAAGCTCGGATTGAAAATGGATTTTTGCGTTGACAAGCTCAATTGAATAAGTGCGCTCATTTGAGTGTTCTTTGAGCAAAAAAAGGATTAATGAGTATTACGACACTTTTACCTTGGTCCAGCGCACCTCTAGAAGGCCATCTACAATTAACAGGAAATTATTATGAGAAGCGCCAAACTAGTCATATTCTGCCCTAAAAATTTATTTATATAGGTGTTTTTAAGTTTCATCGCATGGTCAGCAAAGCCTCACACTAATGGCGTTTCTGTTTGAGCGAAGCGGACAATATGAAGGCAAAATTTTGCGATGAAAATAAAAACGCCATTACTTATACGTATGTATGTAGGTTGATATCTATACAAAAAAATAGTAAGTGCGCCTTGGCCACAGTTGGTCTCATAACCAATATACATACATGCAATACATCTGCTTTTATGTAAGGTTATATTTTTTGCCTTTTTTCTATCTGTCCCCTGTTCGTTCTAATTACATTTATGTTATTCTGTTTTAATTTTTCTTCATTTTTATCTTTATACTCTATCGATAACAACCAACAAAATATCGATGTCAAAACCGACAAAAATATCGGTAACAAAATCGATGACAAATTCGATAGCAAAATTGATAATACTATTGGCAGCTAAATTGATTAGAAAATCGATAAAAATATCGATAACAAAATCAATAAATAATCGATAACAAAATCGATAAAAAATTGATAAAATATCGATAACAAAAACGATGACAAATTCGATTAAAATTTAGATGGCAAAATCGGTATAAATATTTGTAGCAAAATCGATTAGAAAATCGATTAAAATATCGATAACAAAATCGATAGATAATCGATGGTAAAATCTATAAATGATCGATAACAAAAACAATAACAATATCGATAACAACACCAGTAACAATATCGATAAAAATATAGATAACAAAAGCGTTGAAAAGTTTCGAAAATATCGCCAGCAAAATCGATAATCATATTCAATAAAAATTTCTATAAAAATTCGATAAATAAACGATAACAAAACCTATAAAAATATCGATTATTAAAGTCCCAAGAATCCCGAAAATTTTCAAAATCCCAAAACAGTTGCCAGATTGAGTCCTATATCCTATACCCATTTCTCTAAAATTACCTTTATTTTAATATATTTTCCTCTATCTCCATCTTTAACTAAATCCGTATCCCCACCCTCATCTTTTTCTTTTTATTATTTATTTATCTTTGTTTTATAATTTTATGTTTGCCATTTTCTTCATCTACATATTCCCTTTCACATTTGCTCTTATATAAGTAAAGTGTTTGAATTAACTTTGTTCTTCATTTTTGCCTTTATCTTTACGCATACGTATTCTTCTTTACTTTCTTTTTTGTATCGGTCCCTTTCTAAGTGTTATTCTCTAACCCTTTATTAGCAAGTTTTTGTTAAATTAATACCATATGCATACACTCAAGAAGCTCTTGTTTCAGCCCCAACCATTTCCGTGTCCGTGTGCAATTTTCGTTGAATTTGCCAATTTACTCCCAACCAACCAACCAACCGCCGCTAAAGAAGTTCCTTTTCTAAAAGCCCCTAGTTTGAAAGCTAACTTTGACAGAATTTTTTAAATTTCCTTCTTAGTGTGATATTTGTAAGCACTACACATCTGTTTAGGATTCCGTCGACGTAGAGTAGCTTCTTCTTCTTCTTCTTTTTTTGGCGCTGTAACCGCCTAAGCGATTTTGGCCGAGTTCAGCAAAGCACGCCAGTCGTTTCTCCTCTGTGCCAACTGACGCCAATTGGAAACACCAAGTGAAGCCAAGTCCTTCTCCACCTGATCTTTCCATCGCAGTGGGGGCCTCCCTCTTCCTCTGCTACCACCAGCGGGTTCCGAGTTGAATACTTTCAGAGCTGGAGCGTCGGTGTCCATTCGAACGACATGGCCAAGCCAGCGGAGCCGCTGTATTTTAATTCGCTGCACTATGTCTATGTCGTTGTAAAGCTCATACAGCTCATCGTTCCATCGTCTGCGGTACTCGCCGTCGCCAACGCGTAAAGGACCGTAAATCTTCCGCAAAATCTTTCTCTCAAACACCCCAAGAGCCGCCTCATCGGATGTTGTCATTGTCCATGCTTCTGCGCCATATACCAGCACGGGCATGATGAGTGACTTATAGAGCGTGGTTTTCGTACGTCGAGAGAGGACTTTACTCCTGAATTGCCTACTCAGTCCAAAGTAGCACTTGTTGGCAAGAGTGATTCTACGTTGGATTTCAATGCTGACATTATTATCGGTGTTAATGCTGGTTCCCAAGTAAACGAAATTCTCTACTTTCTCGAAATTGTAACTGTCAACAGTGACGTGGGTGCCAAGGCGCGAATGTGCTGACTGTTTGTTTGATGACAGGAGATACTTCGTCTTGTCCTCGTTTACCACCAGACCCATGCGCTTTGCTTCCCTATCCAACTTGGAAAAGGCAGAACAGACTTCGCGGTTTTTGTTACCGATGATGTCGATGTCATCGGCATAAGCCAGCAATTGCACGCTCTTGTAGTAAATTGTTCCTGAGCGGTTCAGTTCTGCAGCTCTTATTATCTTCTCCAACATCAGATTAAAGAAGTCACATGAAAGGGAGTCGCCCTGTCTGAAACCCCGTTTTGTGGCGAACGGCTCGGAGAGGTCTTTTCCAATTCTGACGGAGCTGGTGGTATTGCTCAACGTCATTTTACACAGCCGTATGAGTTTTGAGGGGATGCCAAATTCAGACATAGCGGCGTATAGGCAACTCCTTTTAGTGCTGTCAAAAGCGGCTTTAAAGTCGACAAATAGGTGGTGAGTGTCGATCCTTTTCTCGCGGGTCTTTTCCAAGATTTGGCGTATTGTGAATACCTGGTCTATGGTGGATTTGCCAGGTCTAAGGCCACACTGATAAGGCCCAATCAGTTCATTGACGGTGGGCTTCAGTCTTTCGCACAATACGCTCGATAAGACCTTGTAACCTATGCTTAGAAGGCTGATCCCGCGGTAGTTGGCGCGAATGGCGGGGTCACCTTTCTTGTGGATTGGGCAGAGCACACTTAAATTCCAGTCGTCGGGCATGCGTTCATCTGACCATATTCTGCACAAGAGTTGATGCATGCACCTTATCAACTCCTCGCCGCCGTACTTGAATAGCTCAGCTGGCAGGCTGTCAGCTCCAGCGGCTTTGTTGTTTTTCAGCCGCGTTATTGCTATACGTACCTCGTCATAGTCAGGCGGTGGAACGTCGACTCCGTCATCATCGACTGCGGGCTCGGGGTTCTTCTTCTCCACAACTTTCTGTGCTGCTGCCATTTAGTAGGGCGGAAAAGTGTTCCCTCCATAATTTAAGTACGCTCTGGACATCAGTTACTAGGTCGCCATTATTGTTCTTACAGGAGTGCGCCCCGGTCTTTAAACCTTCCGTAAGTCGCCTAACTCTCTGGTAAAATTTTCGGGCATTCCTCCTGTCGGCCAGCATTTCAAGCTCTTCGCACTCACGTATTTCTGCCTCTCTCTTCTTGTTGCGGCAAATACGTCTCGCTTCCCTCTTCAGATCCCTATAGCGGTCCCACATAGCGCGCGTTGCGCCCGATCGCAGCGTGGCCCTGTAGGCGGCATCTTTTTTCTCTGCAGCTTCCTGACACTCCTCATCGTACCAGTTGTTCTTTCGGGCTCGCTGAAATCCGACTACTTCTTCGGCGGCGGTACTTAATGAGCGGGAAATGTGGTTCCACTGCTCGCATATGTCGGTTTGTTGAAGAGTGCTCTCTGAGAGCAGGTGTGAGAGTCGAGTAGCGAAAGCGCTGGCTGTCTGTTGTGATTGCAGCTTTTCGACGTTAAGCTTTCCTTGCATATTTGGGCGCACATTTTTTGCTGCACATAGGCGGGTGCGTATCTTGGCTGCAACAAGATAGTGGTCCGAGTCGATGTTTGGGCCTCGGAGTGTGCGTACGTCTAAAACACTGGAAGCGTGCCTTCCGTCTATCACAACATGATCGATTTGGTTTCTCGTTTTTCGATCCGGAGACAGCCAGGTAGCTTGATGGATCTTTTTATGCTTGAACCTAGTACTGCATACTACCATATTTCGGGCCCCGGCGAAGTCGATCAGCCTCAATCCGTTGTCGGACGTTTCGTCGTGGAGGCTGAATTTTCCGACGGTGGTTCCAAAGATCCCTTCTTTGCCCACCCTGGCATTGAAGTCGCCAAGCACGATTTTGATATCATGACGGGGGCAGCGCTCGTACGTGCGCTCCAAGCGCTCATAGAAGAGATCCTTGGATGCCTCATCCTTCTCTTCCGTCGGGGCATGGGCGCAGATGAGCGAGATGTTGAAGAATCTCGCTTTGATGCGGATTGTGGCTAGACGCTCGTCCACCGGGGTGAACGACAGTACTCGGCGACGGAGTCTCTCTCCCACCACAAATCCAACTCCGAATTTGCGCTCCTTTACATGGCAGCTGTAGTAGACGTCGCAAGGCCCCAGACATTCTTTGCCTTGCCCCGTCCAACGCATTTCTTGGATGGCGGTGATGTCAGCTTTTGTCCTTACGAGGACATCAACCAGCCGGGCAGAGGCACCTTCCCCATTA